ACAGGTCACTTTGTAAAGACTAAAGGTCATTTTTGTATTATTGGATACAGTAACATGAGTGCACGTGCACCTTTTCATTGTAACTACTGTATTGTTTGCCAGGCATGGCTGAAAGATCAATATAATAAAATAATAAATGTATAATGTAATGAGATTTAAGCTATTTAGTGTAAACAATTGTGTTTTTGTGTTATAATTTGTAGTCATTCTAGAACTAAAAAGGCATAATTGATATTTATTTCCTAATTCTTTATGGCATTTGCAAGATCGGTCAAATCTACTGAACCCATACACAGATTAATTACTGAAAATAACAGATAAAATATAAAGTTTTTTCTTAAGAAACGTTTGAAAACTATCTGGACATTATACAAACTTTGCATGTGAAATATTTTGACACATAAAAGTATTTTTAATCTTAAAATGAATATTACTTTGCATGATAGATAGGCAACTTGAGAAAAGAAAAATAGACACGAGAAAAACATTGCTTTACAAACCTTAAGATTTGTGTATGAAAGCTTTGTAATGTTTACTGATAGTCTGCCAAATTTCATGAACATTCACTTACTAATTTAAAAGTTATGGTACGAAAACTATAACAAGCACAAGATGGTTATGAGGTCGGTCCCAGGGGCCGAGCCTGTGCTGAAATAGTTAAGAAATTAACTAATGTATAATACTAAAATTATAATTACAATCTACAATTTGATACCAAACTTATTGACATAAATTCATAAAACAGTAGTTCAATAAAATTTTGAATATAAATCTACAAACGTAATAACTTTCCCTTTCACCATAGGTAGACCCGTCTCAATAGGGTTAAGTAATAATTAATTTAAATTTGCTTTGATAATTTTATAATAATCTCACTAAATTTAACAGTTTAAGTTACATCATAATTTCTTGCAACTGCTAAGGCCTCACAAACATTAAGTATTATAAAAACTTATGAGTGAAAATAAATGAGAATATTTAATATCAATCACACGATATCTACTAAATTTAGTGCCCACAAAGCCTTTTGCCTAATATCAGGGTTCATCAAATAGTTAACTTATTTGCTGATTATTATAGTAATATCAAACTATTAATAAGAACTTCTGAGTGAAAGTATAACAATATGTGAACCACACTATAACTGCTATATACAATGTGATAAAAACTTTTGGCCAATACCAGGGTTCTTCAGGCTGGCCAAGATACAACAAACACAGTAGCGTTTGAGATGCTATATACATATATTAACAAATCCCTTGACAACAACTGTTGTGGTGCGTATTGGATTAAAATGACGAAGTGAAATTGTTACCAACTTTAATGATGTCACAACACATCAAAATTAGTGTAAATATTAATTTTTTCACCATTATATTATTTATGACATACATCAGCTGATATTAGACCCTAACACTGGTGTCAGATTATACACAAATGATTTAAGTAAGGTACTTACGGAAAGAATTTGAAGGCTACAACACTCCCTCCAGTGTCTTGGAAGGCAGTCTTTATATCCTCCTCAGTTACACTAGCCCTGAAAATAATAAAATCAGATCTGTTTTACTTTCAATTATTCATTCAATGTAAACAACAACATATACTACAAGGCCCATCATATAAAAAAGAAAAAACATTATGTTTAAAGGCTTTGAAGTAACTACAAAAATAGAATGTTAAATATGTATAGTTATTTATTAGTACATTCACAGAAAATCTCACTTGACAAAATAAAATATAATATACAGAGCATTAATAAGAGGCTGTGTGTGTGTGTTGAGTCAACATTACTACTACAAAAGGTTTGTGTAAAAAAATGAGAGGGAAAAGAACAATTTATAATTAATATACCAATATTAAACATAGCTGACAAAAAATACAAAATTAGCTAGGTTTAAGCTTTCCGAAAATCTGTTTATTGTAGTGCTTATGAAAATTAACAATTAATCTAACTCCATAAGGACTGTGGGGGTGCTATAATCACCTACCAGTCTTACATTATCAAAGTGAAAATACTTAACTTGGTACAAACTTTCTAAATAATGACTACTTTTTGTGTGTGTGTGGAAACCTTCATAAAAATCCAATTTAATACTTACACTATTTTATACAAATTTTATTCACTGTTACCATAATTATTCATTTCACAATTCCAGATGTTGTACTGTAAATAATCTTTTTTTAAAGAAATGTAAATGTTATCACTTCTTTATTGCAGTTAGAAGTATTGATAGGCATTAAATACATAAAATATAGGAAAATAATTATATTTCAAAACAACCCTTACCTGTCTGTTATATAGCTTCAAAAAATGTGTCCTGAATTCAAATATGCTCAGAGGACATAAAAAAAAAGGAAGACTTACGGAATGTTTGAAAGATGAAGTGTAGCTGATGGTGGGTAAATATTTTGGTAGTTTTTTGAGCCTGGTTTCTTAAAACGGTGAAGTGGTGAACTGGTAAAGTCTTTGGTCAAACCAGCATCCTACAGAAAAAAAAACCGTTCTTAAGAGGCAACAAATCTGTTTTTGTTTTTTTTTAGTATGCAAGTCATTATTTTAATTAAAGCTAAAGTAGATATAAACTGATACAAAACAGAAATTTTCTGTAAACGTACATTGTTTCCAGGTTCCCGAAGTGGTTTTCATATGTTTATAATTTGCTGAAAAGAGCTTGTAATCTATACTTCAGGTCAATTTTTAAAATCTATTTTAAGAATTAGAAAATTTAAAATACATAATTTAGATCCAGTCTTAAGATTAGTCAAATATTTGTCTAGTTGTAAACTACTAAACAGTTCAAGTATACCTTACAACTAGATGTATTTCCACAGGGTTTCCAAGTGTTCTCTTTCAAGAGTAAATAAAACCAAAATTAAAGGTAACAAATGTTTTTATTTCTTACTTTCAAAGTTCATGTGTCATGCTGTGTTGTAGCCTACAGAGTGCATAATTCTTCTCAAGATTCATGGCATGCTCACGTTTTACTGACATCACAACAGTACAAATTGCAACATTAAACTTCCCTCATGTGGCATCATTTTAGTGTCTACAGACAGACAACATGTAACTGTATATGATGCGAGTGGTTAAAACAGATAACCCCTCCAGACAGCCTTTGGCCCCTTTTCAGGGAAACTAAGGAGTATATCAAAACTCAAGAAACAATTGTTAAAAGTTTTTGTTTTGCAGTGAAGTCTGTAACTTACCGGCTGGCCTTCTTTTGGCATCTGTACTAGCTGGTGCTTGGATGGATTCACTCGAATCTCTTTTCCATATACTTTTATCTTGTCCAAATTGGTAAGAGCTAGTAAATGAATCATTGCTAAAATTAATATTAACTTACCAGCATCCAATCTAGTACTTATATGAAACTAATATATATGAAATACTATAACAATTCAAAGGCAAAAAAAAATAAGTGAATGCTTATAGTTCAAAGCTCAAGAAAACCCATTATTCTGCTTTTAAAAGTGTAGGGTAAGACACACAAGCTGAATATTTCTACACCTAGAATGTACGTGAAAACAACCCAATTATACAAGATTGTTTCTAAGTTACTTCAAAGTGTAGTTAAAGATAAGACAGAAGTTAAATGCATTTCAACAAGATTTTTTCATGTTTCAAAACTGCCTACACTCAAGCAAAAAACAAAACTTACCTAACTGTGCTTGATGTGGTTCAGACATCTGAACAAGAGCATTGTCTTTCTTGTTAAACAATATTTTAACACGTATAACATCACCATAGACTCCTGTAAGTTTACAGAGGAAGAGAGAAAGATATTCAATTATTACTGACACGAAGGAAATTTTTATCAACAAAACACAAATGGTCGAACAAGAAGAAATCAAAAGTTTAAGGCATTCCTTCTCCATGAAACATAAATGACTCAAGTTTCAGTAATACGAGTTTTCTTTCATAGCCAGTATATGTTAAAGAAGCTCAGACAAGAGGGAGGCTAGAAAGTTTACAGAGCAAGAAAAAGTTTACATATAGTTTCACAAGTATATGGGCTGTTAAGATATTAACTTGCTATTTTTCTACTACTTGAACACATGCATAAAATGAAAACTGAAGTTGATTGTATCTTTAATTTCACGATCAAAAGTGAAAAAAATAAATAAAATAAATCTGACTTAATGCATTTATCCTTTCAAACCAATTGTCATGACCAGTTGCTATTTTTTTTATGATGCAAGACAATTTCAGGTTACCTTAGTTTAATGAAAAAAATCTGGGATAAATTTTTGATACAAACGAAGAACTATCTTTAATTTAATTTTGTTATGAAAGTAAGAAGGCTGATAAGTCCCTTTTTGTCTAAATATACAAAGGTCCCATCTGAGCTGCATTATCTAAACATGTTGTCAATGATAATTTCATATAGTACATTATTTTGTAAGTTTATTAAAGAATGTCAGATACAAGTAAAAAGTTTTGGTGGGGTTGAGAGCTACAATTACTACACAGAGAACAACTGTACTTTTACCAAAATCATTTTTTAATATTGTTTGTAAAATCATTTAATCATATCCTTTCAACTGTTTCAGGTAGTGTCTTGTTAAGAAATGAAAATAAACTCAAAAATAAACATATTAGAGAAACACACGTGATTACTGAGCAGAGAGTCATAGCACTAGATTCCTGAAAGATCAAACAAAAAATATAAAGAGTGCTGGATCAAAAACATACCAAAAAGGGTAAAGAGAGCATCGGGCGTGACCATCTAAAGGTCAGAGCAACAGGTGTGGAGCAGAGCAGCAGAGTGGAAGGAATCAGTGTTCCAAACGAACGAATAAAGAAGTCCACATGGGAAGACACCAGCAGGCCAAGTAGGGAAAGAAAAAATTATACAAGATAAACATCAGTGAGTGGCTATTGATATAAGTTAAGAGCTGAGGTAAACTTTCTTTTGATCAAGAACCACAACTAGCAAGAGATGAAAGACTTGAAACAAATTAAAGAAAAAATCTAGAGAACTAGGCAGAAGGTCACAAAAATACAGCTGTTTTCAACAGTTTATCATGCTTTTACAAATAGTTTCTGCTTGGTTCTTTTCACAAATGCAAATAACTAGTCTAAACACACACACAGACAAATGAATGGATATATTACTTAACTATACCAACTTTAAGCAAGCAAAGCACAAAGGCTGCAACCTAGTATTAGCACGATATAGTGTTCCACACTTACATATATAAAAAAAAAAATTGATTTTATTTAAAATAAACATAATAAAGTACATAAATAATCAATATATATACACAGGGATTGTAAAAAAAATAGAAAAACCTGCTTAAAGATCTCCTCATGATGTTAGATGGACTACAGTAGGTGATCAGTATTATATAATCATGTGTAACAGCATATCATGGTTACTACGGCATGGAAATTATCCCATAACTTTTGTTAGATAAATATAACAGTGGTTGGAAAATCATCCCATGCTTTATGTCACGTTGTGTCCTGAAGGAATGGAATCTCATCATACCTTTCAGATCTTTAAGTATATAAAGAAGTAAAGCAGTTCAAATAGCCAAAGATGGAACCACATGTTGCTAAGCTGCTTCCACAAGATGTTTCTATTTTGTTTGTCCAACCTCCGTGTGTATATTTTGATGTAAAAAGTGTATTATATAACATCATTAAAACACCTTTGATGATTTTTTAGAACTCCACACAACTAAGTCAAAACAAAGGTTATCACATGTCTAAAACAGATGAATAAAATCACATTACAAACTACATAATGGGACACAAAATGTATCCTGTCACAAGTTATTTTCAAAAACAGAACTATCTTGGAGGTGGAGATACACTATCAGATTTAACCTTTATTCAAAGTCTCACGTATATAATGAAATTATAAGAAAAAATAATTAAAAATCAAGAGTAGATATGAATGCTAAAACCCACACCATCCTACATCTGAAGTTGCCTGTAAGAGTACTCACTTCTAATCAAACAGAAAAGTAATAATTAAAAAATGCAGTTTAATAAAACGTTTTGCAGTGAAAAAAGTAACAGTTTTTGAAGGAAAAGCAATTACATTTATCCTTCTGGATAACAATAAAATTTTGACCAAGCCCTTTGGTGAAAATTATCTCAGTTAACAATACTCTTCAATCAAAAACTAAGAATTTAGTATCTTAAATTTTTTTAGTTGGACAAAACAGTTACCTTCCACAAGAGACAAGTAGATTTTTAAGTTCACAAAAAACGTAAAATTAGTGAAAATGGAGAAGAATATTTTGAAAAGTTTGTTATTATATGGATAAACATTTCAAATAACTTACTTATCTAACTGTAAGATGTGGTACAGAATGAAGAACAAAATTAAGAAGGAATCTATTTATGAGGAAACAATATAATTAACACAACATGTTTACAATCCTATTTGGTTGTTGTTGTTTTTTCTGAACCATTTTTCAAGTACTTAACATTAGCAAAGTAAACAAATGAATATTTGAACTTCTAAAGCTCAAGAGAATACTATTTAGAAAGATCACAAAATTCATGGGATAATATGAATATATACTTTACAATGTTACTACTAAAGGAATTATTATACCCTAGGATTTATATATGTAATTAATTCTGTTAAATGGAAACAAGCATCCACAAACAAGTAACATCACAATACTAAACACCCACAAGTTGCAACCTCCACATACCTCTTCATTTAAGTTGCTAACTAACAGAACACATCCTCCAAATGACTGCTGACCAGGAAGTCTAAATCCAGCCAGCCCAAAGGTTGCACTAGCCACAGCAGGTGGTAGAGCAAAAGCCCCTAAAGGAAGGCCTTGGGGTTAAGAAAAAGAGAAGTCAAGGTAAATGCAATCTTGAAAAAAAATTCACACACACACATATACTGAAACATTAGACTTTAATCATACAAAACATTTTAAAGGTACTAATATATATATAAAACCTATAAGTAAACAAATTATAAAGTTACAATTAGTTTAATACTGTGACTGTGTCATAAAGGGATGTGAATGGAACAAAAGAATCTGAGGAAACTTGCATGTAGCACAAGCATTCAGCTTGTTATGGAAAGCCATAAAACTTGTGCATCACATTCTATCCTGTACAAACCTCTCTACCAGTAATCATGTATATGTAATTTTGCAACACTTTTTTTCCAGTCTTGTTACCAAGTGATGAGATTTAAAGGTAGCAATAAGCACGTCAAATTGTCTACTATTGACTATTTGCACAAATTTCACAATCCATATTTTTGAGTGAAACACCCATATTTCTGCAAATCTGTATATTTTTCACATCCCTGGTTGCAAATGAATAAACAATTAGATAATGTTTTCATGATTTCAATCTACTATTCATTAATAACTACATCTAGGACATATAGAAAAAGCATTGTCTTTCGTTGGTGTAACAAAGTTCTACTTAAGGAATACCTTGTATCACATAACTTAATATACCATAAACAGTTAGTTATAGATCAAAAATTAACTTAAACACAGAGAGCAAAAGAATGCAAATGAAATGAATGAAGATTTATCCAGAATATCCATTAGTGTAATGTCATTATATATAAATAATCCCCTCTGTGACATATACTTTTGAAAAACAGAAAATGGTGTTCACTTCTGGATCCTGGTAATGTTTAAGACCAAGATAATTATTTTATCTAACATAACAATGTGTAATTACTAGACTTTTGCAATTTTATAATGTTATTTACTTACTTATCAAACATCTTTCATGCCTGAGCCATATGCTCTGAATTACTTTATATTGTGCAATGTTTTACAAATAGGCAGAATTTTGTTTGCTGATGACACAAAGTGTTTCTTTCTCAATTTTAAACTTCTAAGTTAATGTTAAGATAAACAACTAATCTTACAGAATTGTGTTCCTTCCTGATAGTTGAATGCAAGATATTTAACTTTTTTTTCATTTCATATTAATAAAAAATTTTTTTTTCAGTTGAGGTTGTTATTCATTAAACACAGAGATATATAGTGACTTCTTAATGACTGTAAACAAATATTTAGTTATAAAGTACTTGGTCTTTACAAAATAAGCTAAGGTAATATTTTTGGCTACTTTTAGGTACTTCAATGAACAAAGGAAAATAATAAAATATATCTCAATGTACATCCATTACATTAAAGCTGTCTTCACACATACTTTTCTAGTAATATTCTAAAACAAACAGTTATCGTACTGATTTCTTTGACATTTTTTAACAATTATTTTCTCAGTAAAGTAGAAGAGCACTTCTGTGTATAAACTTAAATATAAATAAGCAAATACAAAATGAAAAGTTTTACATACAATTATGCTAAGTTCCATAAACACAGAATGAATATAAAAAAATTGTGTTATTAAGCAATTTACAAATGTTTACAAACTGAACAAAATGTTATTTCTACAATCAACACTATATAGGTTAATTATAAATTTTCCTTCGTTAAAATTAGAAAAAACTACAACAAATGATAAGGAAACCAAAGCAGCAAATAAAGGAAAAAGAAGAACAAAATTGCAAACAGCATACCTGCAGCAGCACTATAGGCAGCTGTTAGTGGTGCTCCAAGGCTGGGCAGGCCAGCAAAAGGAGATCCCATCATACTCATAGCACCTTATTTAGGATGACAAACCGGAATATTTATAAGCAAGATGCAAAAACATTACTGCTATTAATTTTTAAACCATAGAATACACACAAGCTATAGACCTATATCAAGCCAAATTACCTGCACGTAAAAAATATTTCATATTGTGGCATTACCTTCTTGGCAGGAGAAACCTAGTTAATATTATTAATAGTAGACAAGCCAATTGTTTAAAAACTACAAAGATATGTTAAGAACACTCCAAACTGTTAGCTTTGGGGAGGAAACTATGTTACCAAAAATCAATTAATGAAAGCAATAACGATTAATTAAAATAAAGTTACACATTTTTAAGAACCCAAAGTAAATAATAAACAATGGTTATAAAACTACTAAGGTATGAGATGAACAGTTAAGTAACACTGCACACACTACTTACTTTTTTAATAACACTTATCAACAAATAAGATTATCTGGGTTCAAGCAAACAATACTCTCATAGCTACATTGTTATTGATAATCTACATAATAGCTTTATTCTATGACACTAAGCATGCACTGTGATGCATATGAAGAAAACACACAAACCAAATGGCATTGTTTTACCTTACAGAAGCTAGTCAGAAACTTGCACAACTGGTTCTTACCTCCAAAACCAAGACTGTCTAATCCTATATCACCTGTGGGTAAAGTAGGATTGGTGAAATCTCGGCTTTTGTCATTATTGTATTTCACATTCAAGTTGGTCAGTTTGGAGTAGTCTATTCTTAATGTGCAGCAAGCATTGTAGATGTTCTGCCCATCTAAAGACTGAAGACACAGGGATGCAGTACTTAATCACACAGTTATGCACAAAAACTACAAATGTATGTATTTACATTTTTAGTAAATAACAGAAACCCCTTAGCATATAAATGCAAACATTCCTGAACTTTCAGCCTCACTGAAGCACTACAAACAAATTTCTTACTCATTTTCAGGGTACTTCCAGTTGTAAGGTTTAATATTCACGAAAATAAAGAAGTATGGAAATATACTTTTAGAAATTCAACACTATACTATTTAACCACAATTCAAGACTTCTGTATTAAATGATCCAGACAAAACTCACGAAACAAAAGTTACCTAAACTAAGTAACTCAAACAACACTTCTCAGTTAAAAACTGTCTAATATATCTATAATGAGGACAGCACCCACAAATTAAAAACTATTTCATATATTTAAACTACTAATTAAAACAACACACTTGTTCAATTAAAAAAGAGAGAAAATTAAATGTATTTATATTTAAATAGTGATTAACACTTTTCACTTAAAACTATTCAATACATTTATAAGTAGTTCAAATACCAATAGTTAGGGACTTCTTCAAATAGAACTTACCAACTTGGCTGCTTGTGCAGTGATGACATCTGGATACTGAATGAGAGCTTGGAATGTATCTACAGAAAGAAATATGTTGTTATAGAACAAAAAATAGTATATCTAATATTTAAAGATTAGAAACTAACCTTATAAAACTAAGTGAAGCAGCCTTGCCTATAAAACATCAAGATTACGATTAATACATTTAATGATGCACAATCACATAACTGTATGTATATTTATTAGATTAGCAAGAAAGTCTGATTACTATAGACACTTAAATATATTTAAGATATTTCTACATTTTATTTTATCAATGACTCACATCAACTACTTACTGTTTTTGGTGAATGTTATTATCTTCAGAACCTTTCCTACTCGAGAAAATATCTGAAAAATAAAATCATTTTAAACAAACACCTCCGAGACACTAAAGATTAAAATGCAATATCCTCTAAATGTTAGTATCTAGCATGTTTAAGTTTATCAAACATTTTTTCTGGAGACAGTTTGTTCATTATTTTATCTCCCATCATGAAATTGGTTTATTCTTTCAACAGTGCTCTAAGCAAACATTCTACATCATAATATCCTTATCTTAACTCTATAAAGCATTATTACATTATAGTTTTTGGGAAATCATACAAGAAAAATACCTGGTATAGAACGTCGAGAGTGATGGGATAGATCTGATTATCCACTATGACCCGAAGCACTGTGTTTGGTCCTCCCTGAGTATCAGTTTCACTTGTCAAAGCTTGGGCAGCTTGTAAAGCTGCCTGGGTTGATATCTGCTGTGAAACACGACAATCAAAAGCTAACTATTACAAGAATCAAACCTATTAAAAAGTTATTTCTTCCTTTATGCTTCAAATATAATTTAGATTTTCATAGGAAAAATTTCCCTTTTTTTTAAAAATTATATACAACTTCTATACACTTTGTTGTGATTTTGAATTCTATGTGCCATCTGGCTAACTTATCATACACAGAATTAAGTTCCTAATTACTAAAGTGCACTTTGTTTTGTTTGCTTTAACTCTTCATAACAAACTTTCCTGTTACTTACTGAGCCAGGATGTGCATTGTCTGTTTTCAACTCTTTATGGTTAGAAAACTGAACATATACAGTGCGGCCCCGGATGATTGGAGTTCCTGAATTATTGTAGTAGTTTACCATTGATGTTGCAGCTGTCTCATCAGCCATCTCCAGAAATGCCTAAAGAAACACAGTATATAATTTCAAAAAAAGAAAGAAAAAAGGATACATCTAAAACAGTAACCATAGCAACAGTACACTGGTACTTTTTTTCCTATAAAAACACTTAACATTGTGGCAACAGTAAATGTATCATCTGCTTTAACAACTCAAATACCACCGTATTTTTACATATTTGTGATTGATTTCTTGCACTTACTATATTTCATTATAAACACAGTTGTTCCCTAAGTATTTTTTGTCAAGCACCTTGAATGTATATGCTTTAAACCAAATGTTATTTTGTATTACTAAACATAAATCTATCTCTATTTATTAAAATCATAAAGTCACATACATGACCTTGCTTTCTTTATTCTTAGCATATACATTTTACAATAACAGTTTCATTACACAACAATAACAATCATTCATGTTCAAACAGCCACATACAAAAACACTTTTATTTTTGCTCATTCACATGTAGCCACACCAATGGAACATCAGTTTGCCAAGATTGAGGCTCGTTTCCTTCTATTGTACTTGCTTGCATTTTTATAGCTCTTTATGTACACCAAGGATGTCATAACATGTTTTTAATTCTCTCTCTCTTCGGCAAAACAGCTGTATTTATTTTTTCCACTTTAATACGCTAGTGTGTCCGCTGTTAAAATTAATGATCAATTATGGTTTAAAAATGGTATACAAATGTACAACATATCTTATAACTTGAAGTTTTTCATTTTTTGTGGATTTAGCCAGGATTAAAATACTGATAATCATGACTGATTTTAAAGGACTTGTAATTAACAAATATGAATTTAATACACATATGGTAGTTTGAATACTTAAGAAGTGCTTTACTAAAATTTGCAAGAAGGTTAGCCATTTAATCCAGACGGCACAGTACTTGCTTAAAATGCAAGATATGCCAGGTTTCAATCTGGAAGATACAAAAGTTGGAAAACTGCACATTACCTTCCTGATGCTTTAAAAACTTATGTGGTAACATCCGTTTAGAAATTATGAAGATTACCGTTAAAATGATTCAGATGTAAAATAAACTGTTCAACTTTATTATGTCCTATAAAAAATTTTAAATATTTGTGTAGATCTGTATCAAATTTTTAATACAAATTATATAACATGTGCATTGTTTTGATCATTTAACAAATCTGAGAAATTGAATGGCCAATTCAAAACCAGTATATTCTGTTAACCATTTTTTGCTTTTCTTTTCCATTAGTTACAAACACCATGAAAGATGTAGCCTTTTCACTGACTAGTAAATAGTGACAAATTTTGTTTTCAAAGTGGAATAATTCCTCCAAAGAAAAATACCTCCAATTTTAATGTCATTAGAGCTAAGACTGTGTGTGTGTGTGTGTGTATATTTGCTTTTCATGCCTAAACTTTTTAACTTATCTCAAAAATTTGGCAAGCACTCTCAGATCCTCCTGGGTGGACTGTAACAAGGGAGGGTCAGCATTCACATCTGACTCTCCCTATGTCTTCCACATGTATTAATCTGATAATTTTGAATTACTGCATAGCACATACCCTAAGGGCTCAATCTGGCACATCTCTCAAAGCAATAATTTTGGCATCTGTCGCACACACACACAAAAACAGTAAAATATGAACTTGAGCCTCCTTTCCAACATATACGTCATGAAGACTTAAAAAGTATGGTCATCTCTATTCTTGTATATATCCAATAATTAAATGCTGCCCAAGACACAACAAATGTATATATAAAAGAAGGACATGAAAGAAATTGCACAAAAATACTCAATCCACGATAAGATAAAGTAGAATACCATATCTTTTACTCGTAAACATTATCTGTTTTAATAAATTTCACTGGCCAGTAACTTTTAAAGAAATCAAACCACTGCTTGAATTTAGCATAAAAGTTCAAGTTTACCTACATTCACTCGTGTTCAAAAAGCATCCTAGTTGAACAGTAATTTACATACTGCAACTTAATATTTTGTTTTAAGGCATTACAGTTTGTAGTTTCTCCAGATGGTTGGTAAATTAACTTGTTCACCATTTGCAGTATGAACACTATTAACCAGAAGTCTGCAAGTGATATAATAATACTTCAACTAACTCTACATTAAAGTGCATATTTAAATCTTTGTGAAGTATACTACTAAAAGTATACAATATTATTAACTCAAATCTTCCTTTAGTACAATAACAAAAGAAAAAAAAAAAAGAGTGGCTAAACCACAAAAATATTTAGGGCCCTACAAACATTAAACAGGTTTCAACTGAAAACTTACAAGAATGTATGTTTAGCAGAAGACTATATAAGATGCAAGTATTCTAAATAAGCAATATTTTGGTTGTACTTAGCCATTGAAGTAGGTAATAATGTCCATTGCAAGAGGAAAAAAAAATTTTTTATCCTATAGGTAACTATAATAGCAGATTCTTACCTGGTTCTTTCCCTTAAGGAGCAGGACGTTTGTGATGCGACCAAAAGGAATTCCTAGGTTTATAATGTCAGTTTCCATTGCTTCCATTGGAATGTTCCTTACATGGACCACTCGAGATGGTTTGTTCAAATTTCTGTCCAACTTAACCTGAAAATGATATGTCATTGTTTAGTGTTGTATGTATTCAGTATAAGGAACAAGTTTCACATTTAATGGAGCTCAGAACAATTTTGATATAATTATTTCACCACAGTTTCTCCATGGTGGCATTTGTATTTGGTAACTACAACCAGATAATAAAACTATTATTTCATACTCCACTTACAACTCAATGTATAAATTTTAAACCCATGTTTACCAAAACGTTGGGTTAAACAAGTATCAAACTACAGGCACAGTACTACATGTACATTTTGGCATATCAATAGCAACCTGTAAGGGATATAGGATAAACCAAACTTAAAATTATGGGTGCAGTAATACACCTACATTATTCTATATTAACCTCATGTGCACAAGTGGGGGTTAAGATACACCTTCTACATACTGTCATTGAAAATGGTATTATGTATTTGAAGTTAGAGTATCAACTATTCATTTTACCCTACATTGCTGTTTTGCCAATAGTTTATGATACAATATACAGAAATACTGGAAAAACTGGAGATAAGCATCTTGGAAATTTAGAGGTTGCATAAAAGCAATATGCAAATTTTATGATAGATGAAAGTATTTATATTCTTCATATGAACATCTTGCATTCCCACTTGTCAGTGTTATTCAGACTATTGTCAATTCACAGACATATTTCAAGTGAAAATACTTTATTAACACATATATTTTGTGTACAACAGACTTGTACATTTTAGTAAAAGCTTGATACATTTTATGTAGATACATGTAGTAAATTCAAAATTATTGTCAACATTCTTTTTTTCAGTGGACTGGTGCTTTGCACATTTGGCTAAATCAATTTTGGACTACATGCCTAGTGGTACAGGTACATCTTGTTATATTACCAGATTAATTAAACTAGTTTCAGACAATACAATTTTCTGTTGCATGACAATAACCTAATTTTAATCTGCCTAATTTAATTATCTGTGCAAGAACTATCAAGATGTATAATGCAAAAAAAAATAAAGACTTGGTTAGCTTTGAAAAATTCTAAGGTTAAGTTTCTATGCAAATAACTTGTCATTAATTTTCATTAATGTACTAGCTGGAATACCCATTCTTAGGACATTGGACGGGTGAAATAAAAACTCATTTGTAACAAAGGATAGGAAATTGTGTTTCTATTTTTTTCTTAACATAATAAACATTAAAAGCAAAACAAAAATACATAAAGTTACCAATACTGAAAAGAAAAATATACTGTTTTCTTTCAAGAAAAATATCAATATGAAACCCCCTCTCCCCAATAATCTTCCTCATGCCATCCTGTATCACTGTGTCAAGTCTGGTGCTGATTGATACATATAAAGAACAGACACACACACACATATTGACATTTATTTATATAGATTATATAATAATTTATGATGTCATTCCTTGCTCTTTCTTATCAACACTATAGTTTTTAGTTTGGTACAGTAAAATCTCATAAAAACACAATAGTTAAAAGTCTGCATGATGTAACAAATTACACTCACAGCTGGCTACAACTACCAGAATCCTACCTACCTTTTTGGCATCATTGTTGTTGTCAGGCTGAGATGTCATGATGCCACCATTACTAACAGCAGCCGTCTGAGAAAGAAGCTCGTCGGAACCTCGCTGATAAAAAAAAGAACAAAAGAAAATGTACTGGAAATTACGATTATCCAGGAGGCAATTACAAAACCTTCATGGTACAACTAAGACAAGGAAATATCAAAGCTTTTACCAACAATAAAAAAATTATTCTAAGAAGTAAATGAAGACTATGATTTCACACTGTAGCTTCCTATGTCAGTATTTCACAGTGGGAAAAACCAATAATGCCATAGTAAAATTGCAAAACGTACTTTAATATATGATTAAATGAATATTTTATTTTTAGCCAAAATCAAATGAACCAGACACCTTTTGGTTTACAAATTCATAAGAAGGCTGATACATTACTATTTGCAACACAACCATTTTGGTTGTGTATATAACTTTTTTTTGTAGGTGGTTCAAGTTTGAAAATATTAAACAATTTTATGGCTTAAATTAATACTACGTAGTACCAAACACACAGATCATGGATTTTTGGTATGTACACAAGTTATTACCCTTTTAACTTGAATATATGAATATTAAAAGAAAGCTGATTTAATCATCATTTCATACAAACACGAGTATTCAATGCAGATTTAAATTTGTTACACAGACTGAAAAATCAAGCCAATATACTAAGCCAGAACTCAGGGGTTTTCCTAGTGTGCAGTTCATCACAAATTATGCAGGTGTAAAAATATTTGTGCAGTTGAAAATTCACCAATATAAGTAAGTTCAAGTGGATAAATATATAAACAAACTATTTACTAGAATATCCTTCATTTGTGGATCATTTGTTACTAGGCCTGTATAAATAAATAAATTATGAAGTTAAAATATAATTGTGCAGTTGAAAAAATCCTTAGAAAAATCTCTGCCCAAACTTGTTCCAATCAATACATATAAAATTGAAATTTCAATAACAGTAAATGTATTCTATTCCATTATTATGTTCTGTTCTTCTTCAATTTTTGTAAACTTGTTCCAATCATCCATATCTACCATGAAGTCTCATTAACAGAAAACTTATTGCAACCATGAAACCTCAGTAAGAACAGGTTAACCGGAATGGACCTATCACAAAACTTCATAAACAGTAAATTTACTTCAATGAAACTTTCCAAAACAATATTGTTATGACAGTGGAAGTCACGTGACGCCAATAACGCGTCATGATATTCTCGAAGGATCGTGACTTTTCCTGGCAACTCTAGTCTTTTCCAGGCGCCCTCTATTTTAGTATATAAGCCCGGCAAATAAATGCAGATAGGGAGAGATAGAGAAGATAATTGAATCAAACGAGCGGTAGTGACGGTA